CTCCCTTTTTAGTGAGATTGGTCAGTGGGCTGGTAACATCCGAATAGTTAGGAACAAATGTGCGATAATAGCTAGCCAGCCCCAGGAACCGTCTCCACCTCCCTTTTGGTCGCAATTGCAGCGGTTTTATCAATTTGTGGCCGCACCTGTCCATGACCCAAGTGGAAGTCCAGATACCGTACCTCCACCCATCCAGTGGCACACTTCTTCAGGTTGGATGAGTCCAGCCCGCCTCAAAGACCAAAGAATCGCCCTCAGATGCTGCATATGCTGCTGCCAGTCATTACTATAAATAATGATATCATCTAAATAAGCCGCGGCATACGCAGCGTGGGGGCATAACATTTTGTCCATGAGATGTTGAAATGTGGCTGGAGTTCAGGATAACCCGAGCAGCAGTGTGACGAATTGGTGTAACCCAATAGTGTGGAGAAAGCTGTTTTTTCACGAGATCCTGGAGTCAGGGGAGTCTGCCAGTATCCCACAGATCATGGGATAAGCATCTAATTTAGACACTGTGTTGACTTTTCTATAATCAATACAGAACAGTTCCATCAGTCTTGGGAACAAGCACCACAGGGCTGCTCCAGTCACTGTTTGACTCCTCTAATACTCCAATATCAAGCATGGCCTCAGTTTCTTCCCAAACAATTTTTTTCTTGTGTTCGGGCAACCTATGGGGCAGCTGCATACAACTGTCCACGGAGGGTTCTCAATGTGGTGTTCTATGAGCATGGTCCGGCCTGGCCGAGGTAAAAACAAGTCGGAAAATTTGGCTTGCAACTTGGCAACTTCTGTTTTCTGGGACAGTGAGAGCTGGTCACCACACGGGAACAAAATTGGTTTGATAGCTTTGGGTACCTCCAGTCCCAGCTCAGCTCTCCACTCTCAAGGACCACCCTCTCCATGGTTTTAGGACGTTGAGGTGATAAATTTGTAGCAAATTACCCCTGTCAGACCGTTTCACTTCATAGTCCACCTCTCCTACTTGTCGTGTGATCTCAAAGGGTCCTTGCCATATGGGGGGTAATTTTGAGCTTGATGTGGGAAGTAAAATAAGGGCTTTCTCTCCCGGTGTAAATTCCCATAGCTGAACACCCCTGTTGTAGGCGCGGCTTTGTCGTTCTTGCTCACACAGCTCACACCCCGTTCCTCGCTACAGGAGCCATCCTTTGTCAGTTCCTTTACTAACCCCCGAAAAACATGAAGAGAGTAGGGGATCCGGACCAGTGTGCCCACCTCCACGTGAGGACACTCATCCTGGAAATGACCCGGTTCCCCGCACCACCAACACACCCGCCCAGGCTTTAGCCCAGCTCTTGTTGGCTTGGCACACGTCACCTGTGGAAGGAGAGAGGACACAGGATTAGAAGAGGTGTTTCTTCCAAGCCCCAAACAGTTATATCGGGTATGGGGCAAGGGAGCTACCCTTCCCTTTTTCCTGGGAGCGGGGAGGTGAGAGAGAGAGAGGGAGAAACCCAAATTGGTTGAGGCAGGGTCCCCGCCGCCATGTATGCTGCCAGGTGAGCCTCTGCCAGGCTGGTGGCCTCTTCTAGGGACTCGGGGTGGTGGCACTGAAACCAAGCCATAGTCCCTTCTGGTAACCGGGCTATGAATTGTTCCAGAACCACTAGATCTAACAGTTTGTCCCGTTCCTCAGCTAAAAGCCATCTCTTACAGGAGTCTCGGAGCTGCTGCACAAATGCAAAGGGTTGGTCAAGCTCCTGAAGAGTCAGTGTCCGGAAACGCTGATGGTGCTGCTCTGGGGTTCGAATGGCCTTCTTCAACTCTGTGTAATCCAGTTGTGACTGCACTGGAAGCTGTTGAGCAGCCAATTGGGCCTCCTCCCGTGAGGAGTGGGAGTAGTCAGACTGCCCAATCTGCTTTATCCCACTGATGGTCCTTGGCTGATCGCTCGAACAGCTCTACAAATACTTCTGGGTCATCCTGTGGAGTCATTTTGGCGAGCGGGACGGTGGTCGCAAGTGGAGTGTGGGTGGAGCGCAGCAGGCTCCGAACCACTTTCCGGTCCGCTTCCTGTCCCTTTACCAGGGCCTCGAAATGGGCCTGTTGCACTTCTAGAAGGGCCTGATGTTGTGGATAAAATTAAGCACATAGCCATGCAGTCTCCATGGATAAACACTGGCAGTAGAACAGGTTGTACTGATGAGTTCAGTGACTTCAAACATGACACTGTCATAGGATGCCACCTTTGCTGCAAGTCAGTTTGTGAAAATTCTGCTAGATCTGCTCTGGACAACTGTAAGTGCTATTATTGTGAAATGGAAGTGTCTAGGAACAACAAAAGCTCAGCCACAATGTGGTAGACCATGCAAACTCACAGAGGGGGCCGCCAAGTGCTGAAATGCCCAACGCCTATCTTCTGCTGAATCACTTGCTAAAGAGCTCCAAACTGCCTCTGGAAGCAGTAACAGCAACAGAATGGTGTGTCAGAAGCTTCATGAAATGGGTTTCCTTGGCCGAACAGCTACACACAAGTCTAAGATCGAAAATGCACAGTGCCAAGTGTCAGGAAGGAGTGGTCTAAAGTACACCAACACTGGAATCTGGAGCATTTGATGAGCGAATCTGGATTGGGCAGATGCCAGGAGAATGTGACTTATCAGAATGCATAGTGCCAGCGGTAAAGTTTGGTGGAGGAGGGATAATGAGCTGGGGCTGTTTTTCAGGGTTTGGGCCCCTTAGTTACTGTGAAGGGTAATGTTAATGCTACAGCATGCAAAAATGTTTTAGACAATTAAATTCTTCCAACTTTCTGGCAACAGTCTGGGGAAGGCCCTTTTTTGTTCCAGCATTACTGTGCTCCATAAAGTGAGCTCCATAATAACATGGTTTGATAAGTTTGTTGCGCAGGAACTCCAGTGGCCTGCACAGAGTCCTACTTCAAGCCCACTGAACACCTTTGGGATAATTGGAACATCGATTGTAAGCCAGGCCTTCTCGTCCAATATCAACATCTAAGCTCACAAATGCTCTCTTGACTGCATGGCGGCAAAAATTCCCACAGGCAAACTCCAAAATGTTGTGGAAAGCCTTCCTGAAATAACGGAGACTGTTATAGCCGCAAAAAGGGGGGCCAAGTCCACATTAATCCCCATCGTTTTGGAATGGGATATCCAACAAGCTTATATATATATATATATATATATAATATATATATATATATATATATATATGCAATGCATAGATGTCCATGTACATTTGGTCATATGGTGTAAGTTTTATGCCGAATTTATTTAAGATAATGAAATCTGATATGCTTTCCGTGAGTGCTGTTGCTGTATTATGGCTAATGAAAATCATTACACCCTCTGCCAAGCTCCGCCTTATTTTCTCAGCCATTCATTCAGTGCTTAGCAACCGTTGCTATCCTTCATTGACTCAAGCCTTAAGTTCATTATCAGTACCTGTCATGTCTGGAGCTAGCGTTTGGACATAGAGGTCATCTGTAAGTTCTTAGGGGTGTACCAGATGCTACATGTTACCCAGAGTTGCTTTGACTTTGAGATGTACAGATATGCAGTAGACATACTATAGATTGAGACACAACATCACTACTATGTAAATGTGAGAGTTAAATATTAGAATAATTAACAGAATATGCTATCTCTTGTTAGCCGCAGGCCATTGTCAAATGTGTTCCCAGCAGTGAACTGAATCAGGGTTCACTTAAGGCAGACTGAGTGTAAACAGCTTCATGGCCCACTCTTTGTCCATGCCCCCCATATGGAAAAAAATATATGGACATTTATTTTTATATATTTGAAATACATTTCAAATGCATTGCAAGCCATGTCGAAATATATACCAAACACTAAAATGTATTTCAGTATATATTGCCTTATTTAATCATATATATTTTGAAAATGCATTTATTTTAAAATGTATGTAAATGTGTTTATACAATAAAATAGCCAAAATATTGTCTAATACACTTTACTGTTAAAATGAATTTGTTTTCCAGTATCTTCATATTAAATTTGATCAAATGAACCTTTAACATAGCTAAAGCAAGTGTTGTAGGTATTGATACTCTGAAAATGCAGTTATGATTTATTATCTTGTTCATTTGATATGCGTTGTGTGTGAGCATCTTACTGAAGACGTACATGGTTAATGTAAAGTACAATGCAGATCACAGAAGTCAATATTGTTCATTCAGTTCATATATATTTAGTTATATCTATAACCTTTATTAAAACTACATACAGTTGAAAAAATATAATAACAGATACAAATAAATGCATTTTAAAAATATATTTAACAAATACATTTTTTGGCCATTTTCATACATTGCAAAAATATATTTGATAAATACATTTGGAATGTATGTTATTTGCCTATGGGCCAGTGGCTAGGAAAAGCTGGTCTATGGGATGTGTGTCATCACCCATTAGCTAAAAGTGATTTGCTGTATTCATTTATGAAGTGCATTTTACATGCATTGCATTATATTTATATGTCTGGATATTGATTATATATACTTACCCAAACTATCCAGACAGGACAGGTTCATTTGACACAATAATTAATTCTATTTAAACTCAATTTAGTGCACCAATGTTTTAAAAATGTGTGATCAAAAATTTACAATTAATTGTAACAGGTATGCATAATTGGATATAATAAAGAAATACTAAGACTAGTTATGTAAAATAACTGACACAGTTTAATCATGTTTTTGATTATCAGTGCTGAGGACGCACTTCTGCCTTTAAACCTAGTATGTTATTGGATGCACTCAGAAAAGATGCACATTCTTACAATTCTTTTTGCATTTCATGTGCTCAAACTCTTTAAAGCATCCTTTTAAACTTGTTTACTTTGTATACACAAAAAATGTACAGTTAAATTTTTTTCTTTCATTCGGTAACAAATGTACACCACCGTAACACACATTACAGAGGATACATAATATCCTTTAAAACGTTATACATAGGTGATAAAATTTAGATTTTTTTTTTCCAGTTTCAGCTCAGTTAGAAGCTTTGTGTTTGTTTTTGATTTTTTTCATCCAGCTTAATACACAGCAGGTGCTTTTTCAGATATGCACAGAACATTTGATCCCTCAATCCGTACACAATAGGACTTATAAACCTGGGTAAAATCTGGACAAAGATGTAAATTGTGAATCGTATGTCATTTAAAAGCATGGGGAAGAGAGACGTTAACGTACTCTCAATTAGTGGGTCAATATATGTGAACATGCACAGCAGAAGCTGCAGGCCATGCAGGACGATGGTATTGCGGGCCTTCCGGGCGTCTGCACCGGTGGCCTTGGCTGTAAACATGATCCTGAAGTAGGTGTAGAACAAAGTGAGCCATACAAAGGACAGATAGACCAGGTATGAGACTGTTCTCTTCTCCACCATGTATGGGTGGCGGAGCAGAGCGTTTTGATGGCAGTTGACAGAAGAATGGAAAAACGATAAAGGCTCAGTGGCTAATAGAAAGAACAGGTCAGGAAGAATGGTGATGGCACCCAAGCCCCAAATGAGGCCAATTAGGATGTATGTCCTGCGCACAGTACAAATCTGTGTGTGACGTAACGGGTTACAAATAGCAATGTAGCGCTCCACAGCCATGCCGGCCAGATTCAGGGGAGTGTTGAGGGTGGTGAACACTGCAATCATTATAAGAATGCAACAGATAGAGACATTAATTGTATAAAAAATATAGAAAATAAGATTAAGCAACACTGCAATTGTTAGCTGGATCATGTCGTTGATGACCATATGGATGAAGAGGATATATCGAGGATTCTCATTGAAGATCTCATGCTTGAGGAAAGTGTGGACAAGTGTGCCGTTAATGTAGTTAATAGAGAAGTACAAAGCCACAACGATCACATTCTTGGTCACAGCTATCGTGTACGAGTCCCTTATTTTAGTCTGGGTGATGTTGCTGTACGTTGAGAGGTTCATCACTTGCTCCTTTTAGTACCAAAGGCTACCTTCCTCAGGTGAGGCTGTTAAATAATAAAAAGCAAACATTTAAGATTCACCACAAATTACAGCACATTCTAATGAATACTATATACACATTTCTCCGTTAGTATAGGAACATGAAACATCTGTGTCTGTTTAACTGCCAGTTCTTCTTCATATAAATGTTAATAACAATATTCAATAGCAAACTGTTATTTTTTGTGTATATAATGTTAGAATATATGCATCATCAAGAAAATTAAGATGTTACAAAGTCTGACAATGAACAAGTCATCAGGTCTTTTGAACCTTATTTGTCCTAACCTTCTAAGTCTCCTATGACAAGAGACGTTTCTTTAGAAGTGCTTATATTTAAGCTGAGGAAAAAAGGTTCAGCCCCCTTACTTGATTTCAGATAAATAATCAAACAACACTGTTCCTAAGAGAATCCTAAGTGTCCTTCTGTGTGATTAATGAGATGCATTATCTTTCGCCAGACAGAAGAGGGGGGCAAAGAATGTATAGAAGGGTCAGTTGGAACCATCCACTATGCTGGAGGCCTTACTGATGCAGTTTATGATTATCATATGGGAGGTCAGATATGAATTATAAGGCTGTGATTCTGAGTAGATTCACGATTTTGAATGCTAATAAGTTCACTTTAGCTTTTTTCATGTCATCACATTTTGTCTTTCCTTCATTCAATTATGTATTACAGATTTAACCATTTTTATATTTTTTTGGAAAATAAAAATACTTATGGTGATGAATTGGCTGCCACATTGTCTTATCAGGTTTACACTTTCAAACATTTTTTTCAAGTTAATTACATGATTTTTCTGTGAATACTGCAAAAATATCCTAGTAGTTATAAAAGCTGTTTTCTCTTTTGTTTGAGGAGGTGAATGATATGCTTGTTGGACCCTTTCAGGGATGGAAAAAACAATAAATGATAAATGTTGAATAAAAGCATAATTTACCGGCCAGTCATAAAGTGACTGTATATTATTTTAATGGTTAAATAAGTTGGTGTTTTGGGTTGGAAAGTAAAATTCGAGGACCCAACGAAATTATTATATTTTATGTAAAACAATGATTCATTGTGCAGAAGAAGATTCAGGAAATTGCTCTCGTTATCTAGAACTGCAGAAAAAGCCACTTAAAAAGCAGCCTGAAAAGAGGGCAGGTCACTTCTAGCCCTACTCTTTCTCCTAATGTTTACTGAAAACAAAACTCTATCTAACCCCAAACTTGGTACAGAATAACATAAGCACATATAAAGTGCTGTGAAAAAAAGTATTTGCCCCTCACCAGATTTATTCTATTTTTGTTAATTTGTCACATTTAAATGTTTTAGATCATCCAACTAATTTCAATATAAGATAAGGACAACACGAGTAAACACAGAATGTAGATTTAAAATGATTATTCTATTTATTGAAGATAAACATTTATCAAAAACCTTTATCATCAGAGTGAAAAAGTAATTGCCCCCTAAACCTAATAACTGATTGTGCCACCCTTGGCAGTAACAGCTGCAATCAAACTTTTGAGATAATATGCAATGAGTCTTTTACATCGCTGTGGAGGAAAAATGGGTTTTTGAGCATGAACTGCCCGTTTAAGGTCTTGCCACAGCATCGCAATGGGATTCAAGTCAGGACTTTGACTTAGCCACTCCAAAGCCTTAATTTTGTTTGTTCTGAGCCTTTCAGAGATGGACTTGCTTGTGTGCTCCGGATCATTGTCCTGTTGCATAACCTAACTTGAGACATAGATCATGAACTGACAGACGGACATTCTCCATCAGGATTCTCTGATACAGAGCAGAGTTCATTGTTTCATCAATTATGACAAGTTGTCCAGGCCCTGCAGAAGCAAAGCAGCCCCCGATCACACTACCACCACCATGTTTTACTGTTGGTATGATGTTCCTCTGGTGGAATGCAGTGTTAGCTTTACACCATGTCTTCCAAAAAGTTCCAGCTTTGACTCATCAGTCCACAGAGTATTATCCCAAAAGTCTTTCTTAACGTGGAAACGTGTACATTGACCTTAACTGCGGCAAGTGAGGCCTGCTGTTCTTTAAATGTTCTTTTGTGACCTCCTAGATGGGTTGTCAGTGCACTCTTGGTGAAATTTGGTTAGGCTGGCCACTCCTGGGAGGGTCCACCGCCGTTCCAAGTTTTCTCTGTTTGTGGATAAAGGCTCTCACTGTGGTTCTTTGGAGTCCCAGAGCCTTAGCAATGGCTTTGTAACTCTTTCCACACTGGTAGATTTCAATGACTTTGTTGCGCATCTGTATTTGAATCGCTTTAGAACGTGGCATCATGTGCTGCTTTTTGAGACCTTCTAGCTGCTTCACATTGTCAGACAGGTTCTATTTAAGTGATGTTTAGATTCAACAGGTCTGACAATAATCATGCCTGGGTGTGGCTAGTGAAATTGAACCCAACAGTCAATTGTAGTTGGTTAACTGCTTGATTAAGTAGCTAAGGGCACAATAACTTTTTTACATAGGGCCAGGTAGGGCTTAAGAGTATTTTCCCTTCAATAAATGAAAACATCATGTATAAACTGCATTTTGTGTTCACTTGGGTTATCTTTGTCTAATATTAAAGTTTAATGATTTGAAATATTCAAATGTGACAAATATGCAAAAATAGAAGAAATTGGGAAGGGGCAAATAATTTTTCACAGCACTGAACACTTTAAACTGAGAAACACTGTCCTGGAATGTCCACTGTCCTGGTCAGCATGAGTCCTGGTTGGTGCACTCCTGAAGACCAGCTCCATGGGTGTTCTGAGCTCATGGCTGAATATAAAGAGAGCCGGAGTGAACCCAGTCGACTCCTGCACAGCAGAGAAACAACATGCCAATAGGACCAGGGGCAAATGTTTGTCCCGGTTGTGCTGGTGTTGGTCAGTGACAATAGATTGGAGAGGCATGGTCCTAATCTTTCGGATGCCCAGCTTGTTGTAGACCCCTGTCTTTACTGCTGACTCAAAATTGCATCCCAGTTGTTATCGAGCTCCTCCAGCACTCTGAACCAGCAGAAGAACACCTCTACTAGCAGCTCCACCATCATGATCACACTTTGCTTTGGAATGGCATTTGCCTCCAGCCATTTAGTGAAATAATCCATGATCACGAGAATGTAGCTTTTCCTGACTTTGGTGGTAGGAAAGGGGCCCAGGATGTCCACAGCTACACTTTCCATTGGGGCACCAGAGCAGAAGGACTGCAATGGAGCATGCAACAGCTCCGTCAGCCCATTCTTGGCCATGCACAGGTCGCAGCAGTTCATACAGAGCTCCACATCTAGGTGGACAGACACCAGCTCTTCTCTCACACGGTACAACAGCCCCTCATGCAAGTGAAGGCTGTCCCCGCTTGTGCAAAGTGTCTTGGCAGTGGGCCCATGCAGTGTTACATCTGTGCATTCTGGTGTCCGTCCCGCTTTGAGCCAGTCGCGTGCCCAGAAGAGGTCAGCTCATTCCTCCTGGGCACAACAGAATCCCTCAGGACTTAAGCCATCAAGCTCAGTGCTACTACGGTGACGGCCATGGCTGCAGTGTTCCTTTTCACTGTTTCTGCTTTCTTCTTAAGGTGCACACAGTACCAGCATTTCTCAGCAGCACAAGAGTGGAAGGACAGGGCATTGGCATTTCCGTGTAGGCACCTGGTATGATGCTGAATTGAGAAGTTGTGCTCCTGTAATGCCACAATCCACCTTGCTACCTGAGCCTTGAGCTCTTTGAATTGCATGAGCCAGGTCAATGAGGCGTGATCAGTGTGCAGCATTGTGGGAACACTGTGCAAGTAAAGATGAAACTGGCATGGCCCCACCAAAACAGCCAGCAATTCTTTTCATGTTACACTGTGGCTTGCTCAGCTGCTGGCTGTAGTACTTGATGACCCTCTCATTATCCTCCTGTATTTGTCACTAGCATAATTGTCCATGATGAAATTGCTACCTGCTCACAGAATTGCTAGTAGTGATACCTCACACAGCCAGTCATGGATCTGGTGTAATAGTGCAGCTTTTGTCTGCAATCCCATGCACAAACTATCCAGACAGGACAGGTTCATTTGACACAATAATTAATTCTATTTAAACTCAATTTAGTGCACCAAAGTTTTAAAAATGTGTGATCAAAAATTTACAATTAATTGTAACAGGTATGCATAATTGGATAAAATAAAGAAATACTAAGACTAGTTATGTAAAATAACTGACACAGTTTAATGATGTTTTTGATTATCAGTGCTGAGGATGCACTTCTGCCTTTAAACCTAGTATGTTATTGGATGCACTCAGAAAAGATGCACATTCTTACAATTCTTTTTGCATTTCATGTGCTCAAACTCTTTAAAGCATCCTTTTAAACTTGTTTACTTTGTACACACAAAAAATGTAGTTAAATTTTTTTCTTTCATTCAGTAACAAATGTACACCACCGTAACACACATTACAGAGGATACATAATATCCTTCAAAACGTTATACATAGGTGATAAAATTTTGATTTTTTTTTCCAGTTTCAGCTCAGTTAGAAGCTTTGTGTTTGTTTTTGATTTTTTTCATCCAGCTTAATACACAGCAGGTGCTTTTTCAGATATACACAGAACATCTGATCCCTCAATCCGTACACAATAGGACTTATAAACCTGGGTAAAATCTGGACAAAGATGTAAATTGTGAATCGTATGTCATTTAAAAGCATGGGGAAGAGAGACGTTAACGTACTCTCAATTAGTGGGACAATATACATTAACATGCACAACAGAAGCTGCAGGCCATGCAGGACGATGGTATTGCGGGCCTTCCGGGCGTCTGCACCGGTGGCCTTGGCTGTAAACATGATTCTGAAGTAGGTGTAGAACAAAGTGAGCCATACTAAGGAGAGATAGACCAGGTATGAGACTGTTCTCTTCTCCACCACGTATGGGTGGTGGAGCAGAGCGTTTTGATGGCAGTTGACAGAAGAATGGAAAAACGATAAAGGCTCAGTGGCTAATAGAAAGAACAGGTCAGGAAGAATGGTGATGGCACCCAAGCCCCAAATGAGGCCAATTAGGATGTATGTCCTGCGCACAGTACAAATCTGTGTGTGACGTAACGGGTTACAAATAGCAATGTAGCGCTCCACAGCCATGCCGGCCAGATTCAGGGGAGTGTTGAGGGTGGTGAACACTGCAATCATTATAAGAATGCAACAGATAGAGACATTAATTGTATAAAAAATATAGAAAATAAAATTAAGCAACACTGCAATTGTTAGCTGGATCATATCATTGATGACCATATGGATGAAGAGGATATATCGAGGATTCTCATTGAAGATCTCATGCTTGAGGAAAGTGTGGACAAGTGTGCCGTTAATGTAGTTAATAGAGAAGTACAAAGCCACAACGATCACATTCTTGGTCACAGCTATCATGTGTACGAGTCCCTTATTTTAGTCTGGGTGATGTTGCTGTACGTTGAGAGGTTCATCACTTGCTCCTTTTAGTACCAAAGGCTACCTTCCTCAGGTGAGGCTGTTAAATAATAAAAAGCAAACGTTTAAGATTCACCACAAATTACAGCACATTCTAATGAATACTATATACACATTTCTCCGTTAGTATAGGAACATGAAACATCTGTGTCTGTTTAACTGCCAGTTCTTCTTCATATAAATGTTAATAACAATATTCAATAGCAAACTGTTATTTTTTGTGTATATAATGTTAGAATATATGCATCATCAAGAAAATTAAGATGTTACAAAGTCTGACAATGAACAAGTCATCAGGTCTTTTGAACCTTATTTGTCCTAACCTTCTAAGTCTCCTATGACAAGAGACGTTTCTTTAGAAGTGCTTATATTTAAGCTGAGGAAAAAAGGTTCAGCCCCCTTACTTGATTTCAGATAAATAATCAAACAACACTGTTCCTAAGAGAATCCTAAGTGTCCTTCTGTGTGATTAATCAGATGCATTATCTTTCGCCAGACAGAAGAGGGGGGCAAAGAATGTATAGAAGGGTCAGTTGGAACCATCCACTATGCTGGAGGCCTTACTGATGCAGTTTATGATTATCATATGGGAGGTCAGATATGAATTATAAGGCTGTGATTCTGAGTAGATTCACGATTTTGAATGCTAATAAGTTCACTTTAGCTTTTTTCATGTCATCACATTTTGTCTTTCCTTCATTCAATTATGTATTACAGATTTAACCATTTTTATATTTTTTTGGAAAATAAAAATACTTATGGTGATGAATTGGCTGCCACATTGTCTTATCAGGTTTACACTTTCAAACATTTTTTTCAAGTTAATTACATGATTTTTCTGTGAATACTGCAAAAATATCCTAGTAGTTATAAAAGCTGTTTTCTCTTTTGTTTGAGGAGGTGAATGATATGCTTGTTGGACCCTTTCAGGGATGGAAAAAACAATAAATGATAAATGTTGAATAAAAGCATAATTTACCGGCCAGTCATAAAGTGACTGTATATTATTTTAATGGTTAAATAAGTTGGTGTTTTGGGTTGGAAAGTAAAATTCGAGGACCCAACGAAATTATTATATTTTATGTAAAACAATGATTCATTGTGCAGAAGAAGATTCAGGAAATTGCTCTCGTTATCTAGAACTGCAGAAAAAGCCACTTAAAAAGCAGCCTGAAAAGAGGGCAGGTCACTTCTAGCCCTACTCTTTCTCCTAATGTTTACTGAAAACAAAACTCTATCTAACCCCAAACTTGGTACAGAATAACATAAGCACATATAAAGTGCTGTGAAAAAAAGTATTTGCCCCTCACCAGATTTATTCTATTTTTGTTAATTTGTCACATTTAAATGTTTTAGATCATCCAACTAATTTCAATATAAGATAAGGACAACACGAGTAAACACAGAATGTAGATTTAAAATGATTATTCTATTTATTGAAGATAAACATTTATCAAAAACCTTTATCATCAGAGTGAAAAAGTAATTGCCCCCTAAACCTAATAACTGATTGTGCCACCCTTGGCAGTAACAGCTGCAATCAAACTTTTGAGATAATATGCAATGAGTCTTTTACATCGCTGTGGAGGAAAAATGGGTTTTTGAGCATGAACTGCCCGTTTAAGGTCTTGCCACAGCATCGCAATGGGATTCAAGTCAGGACTTTGACTCAGCCACTCCAAAGCCTTAATTTTGTTTGTTCTGAGCCTTTCAGAGATGGACTTGCTTGTGTGCTCCGGATCATTGTCCTGTTGCATAACCTAACTTGAGACATAGATCATGAACTGACAGACGGACATTCTCCATCAGGATTCTCTGATACAGAGCAGAGTTCATTGTTTCATCAATTATGACAAGTTCTCCAGGCCCTGCAGAAGCAAAGCAGCCCCCGATCACACTACCACCACCATGTTTTACTGTTGGTATGATGTTCCTCTGGTGGAATGCAGTGTTAGCTTTACACCATGTCTTCCAAAAAGTTCCAGCTTTGACTCATCAGTCCACAGAGTATTATCCCAAAAGTCTTTCTTAACGTGGAAACGTGTACATTGACCTTAACTGCGGCAAGTGAGGCCTGCTGTTCTTTAAATGTTCTTTTGTGACCTCCTAGATGGGTTGTCAGTGCACTCTTGGTGAAATTTGGTTAGGCTGGCCACTCCTGGGAGGGTCCACCGCTGTTCCAAGTTTTCTCTGTTTGTGGATAAAGGCTCTCACTGTGGTTCTTTGGAGTCCCAGAGCCTTAGCAATGGCTTTGTAACTCTTTCCACACTGGTAGATTTCAATGACTTTGTTGCGCATCTGTATTTGAATCGCTTTAGAACGTGGCATCATGTGCTGCTTTTTGAGACCTTCTAGCTGCTTCACATTGTCAGACAGGTTCTATTTAAGTGATGTTTAGATTCAACAGGTCTGACAATAATCATGCCTGGGTGTGGCTAGTGAAATTGAACCCAACAGTCAATTGTAGTTGGTTAACTGCTTGATTAAGTAGCTAAGGGCACAATAACTTTTTTACATAGGGCCAGGTAGGGCTTAAGAGTATTTTCCCTTCAATAAATGAAAACATCATGTATAAACTGCATTTTGTGTTCACTTGGGTTATCTTTGTCTAATATTAAAGTTTAATGATTTGAAATATTCAAATGTGACAAATATGCAAAAATAGAAGAAATTGGGAAGGGGCAAATAATTTTTCACAGCACTGAACACTTTAAACTGAGAAACACTGTCCTGGAATGTCCACTGTCCTGGTCAGCATGAGTCCTGGTTGGTGCACTCCTGAAGACCAGCTCCATGGGTGTTCTGAGCTCATGGCTGAATATAAAGAGAGCCGGAGTGAACCCAGTCGACTCCTGCACAGCAGAGAAACAACATGCCAATAGGACCAGGGGCAAATGTTTGTCCCGGTTGTGCTGGTGTTGGTCAGTGACAATAGATTGGAGAGGCATGGTCCTAATCTTTCGAATGCCCAGCTTGTTGTAGACCCCTGTCTTTACTGCTGACTCAAAATTGCATCCCAGTTGTTATCGAGCTCCTCCAGCACTCTGAACCAGCAGAAGAACACCTCTACTAGCAGCTCCACCATCATGATCACACTTTGCTTTGGAATGGCATTTGCCTCCAGCCATTTAGTGAAATAATCCATGATCACGAGAATGTAGCTTTTCCTGACTTTGGTGGTAGGAAAGGGGCCCAGGATGTCCACAGCTACACTTTCCATTGGGGCACCAGAGCAGAAGGACTGCAATGGAGCATGCAACAGCTCCGTCAGCCCATTCTTGGCCATGCACAGGTCGCAGCAGTTCATACAGAGCTCCACATCTAGGTGGACAGACACCAGCTCTTCTCTCACACGGTACAACAGCCCCTCATGCAAGTGAAGGCTGTCCCCGCTTGTGCAAAGTGTCTTGGCAGTGGGCCCATGCAGTGTTACATCTGTGCATTCTGGTGTCCGTCCCGCTTTGAGCCAGTCGCGTGCCCAGAAGAGGTCAGCTCATTCCTCCTGGGCACAACAGAATCCCTCAGGACTTAAGCCATCAAGCTCAGTGCTACTACGGTGACGGCCATGGCTGCAGTGTTCCTTTTCACTGTTTCTGCTTTCTTCTTAAGGTGCACACAGTACCAGCATTTCTCAGCAGCACAAGAGTGGAAGGACAGGGCATTGGCATTTCCATGTAGGCACCTGGTATGATGCTGAATTGAGAAGTTGTGCTCCTGTAATGCCACAGTCCACCTTGCTACCTGAGCCTTGAGCTCTTTGAATTGCATGAGCCAGGTCAATGAGGCGTGATCAGTGTGCAGCATTGTGGGAACACTGTGCAAGTAAAGGTGAAACTGGCATGGCCCCACCAAAACAGCCAGCAATTCTTTTCATGTTACACTGTGGCTTGCTCAGCTGCTGGCTGTAGTACTTGATGACCCTCTCATTATCCTCCTGTATTTGTCACTAGCATAATTGTCCATGATGAAGTTGCTACCTGCTCACAGAATTGCTAGTAGTGATACCTCACACAGCCAGTCATGGATCTGGTGTAATAGTGCAGCTTTTGTCTGCAATCCCATGCACAAACTATCCAGACAGGACAGGTTCATTTGACACAATAATTAATTCTATTTAAACTCAATTTAGTGCACCAAAGTTTTAAAAATGTGTGATCAAAAATTTACAATTAATTGTAACAGGCATGCATAATTGGATAAAATAAAGAAATACTAAGACTAGTTATGTAAAATAACTGACACAGTTTAATGATGTTTTTGATTATCAGTGCTGAGGATGCACTTCTGCCTTTAAACCTAGTATGTTATTGGATGCACTCAGAAAAGATGCACATTCTTACAATTCTTTTTGCATTTCATGTGCTCAAACTCTTTAAAGCATCCTTTTAAACTTGTTTACTTTGTACACACAAAAAATGTAGTTAAATTTTTTTCTTTCATTCAGTAACAAATGTACACCACCGTAACACACATTACAGAGGATACATAATATCCTTTAAAACGTTATACATAGGTGATAAAATTTTGATTTTTTTTTTCCAGTTTCAGCTCAGTTAGAAGCTTTGTGTTTGTTTTTGATTTTTTTCATCCAGCTTAATACACAGCAGGTGCTTTTTCAGATATGCACAGAACATTTGATCCCTCAATCCGTACACAATAGGACTTATAAACCTGGGTAAAATCTGGACAAAGATGTAAATTGTGAATCGTATGTCATTTAAAAGCATGGGGAAGAGGGAGGTTAACGTACTCTCAATTAGTGGGTCAATATATGTGAACATGCACAGCAGAAGCTGCAGGCCATGCAGGACGATGGTATTGCGGGCCTTCCGGGCATCTGCACCGGTGGCCTTGGCAGTAAACATGATCCTGAAGTAGGTGTAGAACAAAGTGAGCCATACAAAGGACAGATAGACCAGGTATGAGACTGTTCTCTTCTCCACCATGTATGGGTGGCGGAGCAGAGCGTTTTGATGGCAGTTGACAGAAGAATGGAAAAACGATAAAGGCTCAGTGGCTAATAGAAAGAACAGGTCAGGAAGAATGGTGATGGCACCCAAGCCCCAAATGAGGCCAATTAGGATGTATGTCCTGCGCACAGTACAAATCTGTGTGTGACGTAACGGGTTACAAATAGCAATGTAGCGCTCCACAGCCATGCCGGCCAGATTCAGGGGAGTGTTGAGGGTGGTGAACACTGCAATCATTATAAGAATGCAACAGATAGAGACATTAATTGTATAAAAAATATAGAAAATAAGATTAAGCAACACTGCAATTGTTAGCTGGATCATATCATTGATGACCATATGGATGAAGAGGATATATCGAGGATTCTCATTGAAGATCTCATGCTTGAGGAAAGTGTGGACAAGTGTGCCGTTAATGTAGTTAATAGAGAAGTACAAAGCCACAACGATCACATTCTTGGTCACAGCTATCGTGTACGAGTCCCTTATTTTAGTCTGGGTGATGTTGCTGTACGTTGAGAGGTTCATCACTTGCTCCTTTTAGTACCAAAGGCTACCTTCCTCAGGTGAGGCTGTTAAATAATAAAAAGCAAACATTTAAGATTCACCACAAATTACAGCACATTCTAATGAATACTATATACACATTTCTCCGTTAGTATAGGAACATGAAACATCTGTGTCTGTTTAACTGCCAGTTCTTCTTCATATAAATGTTAATGGTAACAATATTCAATAGCAAACTGTTATTTTTTGTGTATATAATGTTAGAATATATGCATCATCAAGAAAATTAAGATGTTACAAAGTCTGACAATGAACATGTCATCAGGTCTTTTGAACCTTATTTGTCCTAACCTTCTAAGTCTCCTATGACAAGAGACGCTTCTTTAGAAGTGCTTATATTTAAGCTGAGGAAAAAAGGTTCAGCCCCCTTACTTGATTTCAGATAAATAATCAAACAACACTGTTCCTAAGAGAATCGTAAGTGTCCTTCTGTGTGATTAATGAGATGCATTATCTTTCGCCAGACAGAAGAGGGGGGCAAAGAATGTATAGAAGGGTCAGTTGGAACCATCCACTATGCTGGAGGCCTTACTGATGCAGTTTATGATTATCATATGGGAGGTCAGATATGAATTATAAGGCTGTGATTCTGAGTAGATTCACGATTTTGAATGCTAATAAGTTCACTTTAGTTTTTTTCATGTCATCACATTTTGTCCTTCCTTCATTCAATTATGTATTACAGATTTAACCATTTTTATATTTTTTTGGAAAATAAAAATACTTATGGTGATGAATTGGCTGCCACATTGTCTTATCAGGTTTACACTTTCAAACATTTTTTTCAAGTTAATTACATGATTTTTCTGTGAATACTGCAAAAAAATCCTAGTAGTTATAAAAGCTGTTTTCTCTTTTGTGTGAGGAGGTGAATGATATGCTTGTTGGACCCTTTCAGGGATGGAAAAAACAATAAATGATAAATGTTGAATAAAAGCATAATTTACCGGCCAGTCATAAAGTGACCGTATATTATTTTAATGGTTAAATAAGTTGGTGTTTTGGGTTGGAAAGTAAAATTCGAGGACCCAACGAAATTATTATATTTTATGTAAAACAATGATTCATTGTGCAGAAGAAGATTCAGGAAATTGCTCTCGTTATCTAGAACTGCAGAAAAAGCCACTTAAAAAGCAGCCTGAAAAGAGGGCAGGTCACTTCTAGCCCTACTCTTTCTCCTAATGTTTACTGAAAACAAAACTCTATCTAACCCCAAACTTGGTACAGAATAACATAAGCACATATAAAGTGCTGTGAAAAAAAGTATTTGCCCCTCACCAGATTTATTCTATTTTTGTTAATTTGTCACATTTAAATGTTTTAGATCATCCAACTAATTTCAATATAAGATAAGGACAACACGAGTAAACACAGAATGTAGATTTAAAATGATTATTCTATTTATTGAAGATAAACATTTATCAAAAACCTTTATCATCAGAGTGAAAAAGTAATTGCCCCCTAAACCTAATAACTGATTGTGCCACCCTTGGCAGTAACAGCTGCAATCAAACTTTTGAGATAATATGCAATGAGTCTTTTACATCGCTGTGGAGGAAAAATGGGTTTTTGAGCATGAACTGCCCGTTTAAGGTCTTGCCACAGCATCGCAATGGGATTCAAGTCAGGACTTTGACTCAGCCACTCCAAAGCCTTAATTTTGTTTGTTCTGAGCCTTTCAGAGATGGACTTGCTTGTGTGCTCCGGATCATTGTCCTGTTGCATAACCTAACTTGAGACATAGATCATGAACTGACAGACGGACATTCTCCATCAGGATTCTCTGATACAGAGCAGAGTTCATTGTTTCATCAATTATGACAAGTTGTCCAGGCCCTGCAGAAGCAAAGCAGCCCCCGATCACACTACCACCACCATGTTTTACTGTTGGTATGATGTTCCTCTGGTGGAATGCAGTGTTAGCTTTACACCATGTCTTCCAAAAAGTTCCAGCTTTGACTCATCAGTCCACAGAGTATTATCCCAAAAGTCTTTCTTAACGTGGAAACGTGTACATTGACCTTAACTGCGGCAAGTGAGGCCTGCTGTTCTTTAAATGTTCTTTTGTGACCTCCTAGATGGGTTGTCAGTGCACTCTTGGTGAAATTTGGTTAGGCTGGCCACTCCTGGGAGGGTCCACCGCTGTTCCAAGTTTTCTCTGTTTGTGGATAAAGGCTCTCACTGTGGTTCTTTGGAGTCCCAGAGCCTTAGCAATGGCTTTGTAACTCTTTCCACACTGGTAGATTTCAATGACTTTGTTGCGCATCTGTATTTGAATCGCTTTAGAACGTGGCATCATGTGCTGCTTTTTGAGACCTTCTAGCTGCTTCACATTGTCAGACAGGTTCTATTTAAGTGATGTTTAGATTCAACAGGTCTGACAATAATCATGCCTGGGTGTGGCTAGTGAAATTGAACCCAACAGTCAATTGTAGTTGGTTAACTGCTTGATTAAGTAGCTAAGGGCACAATAACTTTTTTACATAGGGCCAGGTAGGGCTTAAGAGTATTTTCCCTTCAATAAATGAAAACATCATGTATAAACTGCATTTTGTGTTCACTTGGGTTATCTTTGTCTAATATTAAAGTTTAATGATTTGAAATATTCAAATGTGACAAATATGCAAAAATAGAAGAAATTGGGAAGGGGCAAATAATTTTTCACAGCACTGAACACTTTAAACTGAGAAACACTGTCCTGGAATGTCCACTGTCCTGGTCAGCATGAGTCCTGGTTGGTGCACTCCTGAAGACCAGCTCCATGGGTGTTCTGAGCTCATGGCTGAATATAAAGAGAGCCGGAGTGAACCCAGTCGACTCCTGCACAGCAGAGAAACAACATGCCAATAGGACCAGGGGCAAATGTTTGTCCCGGTTGTGCTGGTGTTGGTCAGTGACAATAGATTGGAGAGGCATGGTCCTAATCTTTCGAATGCCCAGCTTGTTGTAGACCCCTGTCTTTACTGCTGACTCAAAATTGCATCCCAGTTGTTATCGAGCTCCTCCAGCACTCTGAACCAGCAGAAGAACACCTCTACTAGCAGCTCCACCATCATGATCACACTTTGCTTTGGAATGGCATTTGCCTCCAGCCATTTAGTGAAATAATCCATGATCACGAGAATGTAGCTTTTCCTGACTTTGGTGGTAGGAAAGGGGCCCAGGATGTCCACAGCTACACTTTCCATTGGGGCACCAGAGCAGAAGGACTGCAATGGAGCATGCAACAGCTCCGTCAGCCCATTCTTGGCCATGCACAGGTCGCAGCAGTTCATACAGAGCTCCACATCTAGGTGGACAGACACCAGCTCTTCTCTCACACGGTACAACAGCCCCTCATGCAAGTGAAGGCTGTCCCCGCTTGTGCAAAGTGTCTTGGCAGTGGGCCCATGCAGTGTTACATCTGTGCATTCTGGTGTCCGTCCCGCTTTGAGCCAGTCGCGTGCCCAGAAGAGGTCAGCTCATTCCTCCTGGGCACAACAGAATCCCTCAGGACTTAAGCCATCAAGCTCAGTGCTACTACGGTGACGGCCATGGCTGCAGTGTTCCTTTTCACTGTTTCTGCTTTCTTCTTAAGGTGCACACAGTACCAGCATTTCTCAGCAGCACAAGAGTGGAAGGACAGGGCATTGGCATTTCCATGTAGGCACCTGGTATGATGCTGAATTGAGAAGTTGTGCTCCTGTAATGCCACAGTCCACCTTGCTACCTGAGCCTTGAGCTCTTTGAATTGCATGAGCCAGGTCAATGAGGCGTGATCAGTGTGCAGCATTGTGGGAACACTGTGCAAGTAAAGGTGAAACTGGCATGGCCCCACCAAAACAGCCAGCAATTCTTTTCATGTTACACTGTGGCTTGCTCAGCTGCTGGCTGTAGTACTTGATGACCCTCTCATTATCCTCCTGTATTTGTCACTAGCATAATTGTCCATGATGAAGTTGCTACCTGCTCACAGAATTGCTAGTAGTGATACCTCACACAGCCAGTCATGGATCTGGTGTAATAGTGCAGCTTTGTCTGCAATCCCATGCACAAACTATCCAGACAGGACAGGTTCATTTGACACAATAATTAATTCTATTTAAACTCAATTTAGTGCACCAAAGTTTTAAAAATGTGTGATCAAAAATTACAATTAATTGTAACAGGCATGCATAATTGGATAAAATAAAGAAATACTAAGACTAGTTATGTAAAATAACTGACACAGTTAATGATGTTTTTGATTATCAGTGCTGAGGACGCACTTCTGCCTTTAAACCTAGTATGTTATTGGATGCACTCAGAAAAGATGCACATTCTTGCAAAAAGAATTGTATTTCATGTGCTCAAACTCTAAAGCATCCTTTTAAACTTGTTTACTTTGTACACACAAAAAATGTACAGTTAAATTTTTTTCTTTCATTCAGTAACAAATGTACACCACCGTAACACACATTACAGAGGATACATAATATCCTTTAAAACGTTATACATAGGTGATAAAATTTTGATTTTTTTTTTCCAGTTTCAGCTCAGTTAGAAGCTTTGTGTTTGTTTTTGATTTTTTTCATCCAGCTTAATACACAGCAGGTGCTTTTTCAGATATGCACAGAACATTTGATCCCTCAATCCGTACACAATAGGACTTATAAACCTGGGTAAAATCTGGACAAAGATGTAAATTGTGAATCGTATGTCATTTAAAAGCATGGGGAAGAGGGAGGTTAACGTACTCTCAATTAGTGGGTCAATATATGTGAACATGCACAGCAGAAGCTGCAGGCCATGCAGGACGATGGTATTGCGGGCCTTCCGGGCATCTGCACCGGTGGCCTTGGCAGTAAACATGATCCTGAAGTAGGTGTAGAACAAAGTGAGCCATACAAAGGACAGATAGACCAGGTATGAGACTGTTCTCTTCTCCACCATGTATGGGTGGCGGAGCAGAGCGTTTTGATGGCAGTTGACAGAAGAATGGAAAAACGATAAAGGCTCAGTGGCTAATAGAAAGAACAGGTCAGGAAGAATGGTGATGGCACCCAAGCCCCAAA